TTCTGTCTCTTTGCAGGTCTGGGATTATACTGGTTTAGGGTATACTAGATACGATGCAAGAGATGTAAAAAGAAGTTTTAGGGTAGGGGGGGACATTTGTAAAGGTGAACATTCTTTATACATTAGCTGTTACTAAACACAAATTCTTTGTTCAGGTGCGTGGTGGAGAATAAAGTGCTTCATAATGCCTTATTATCACGTGTAGAGGTATAAAGCTGCACAATTATGGTTGTTACATGCTCTATACTGTTACGGAAATGTTCGCAATCAGAGGTTCTCTATGCTACGGGTTGTACAATTTGCACAAGCAATTTAGATACCTTAATTGGTACAGGCAGATTTTACTAAAAGCATTATAAGTAGAGAACTGGTCATTTCATTCATGAGATTTATTATAAAAAGGGCTGCGTTATCATCTATATATTATGGTATTTGTTTCAGTAATTGTAGTTTGCGTAGAAATTCTTCTTTTATATTCTGTCTCTTTATTTGTGTCAATATGGGCTGAATTAATAGGTCTGGATAGTGAACTTGCTAGCGCCTGTGTAGAATGAAGACGTGCTGAGTCTTGGTGTTTTTGGAATCCTTTTTGTATGCTGCTTTGGTAGTTTAAGTAGGTGCTTTGGATGTTAGGATCCGAGTTACTTAGTCTAACTTTCTTTTGGCTTCTGCCTCAATATTTCCATCAAGAGTTTTTAGCGTTACGTTAAATCTGAATGAAATTGTTCCAACAAAAGTTTTATGGCACATCTGACCAAGAACAGTGAACTTCTTGACAGGCTACGGATTTTCAGAAAACAATCTTTCCATTGAGGTTAACTTCAATGACATTGCAACCAGGCTCAGCATCTACAGTGGTTGAGAATCTGTCATCGAAAGCATTATCTTCTGCTCGAAGGAATTTAGCAAAGCTGGAACTCAGTGATGGCAGTAGTATATATGCAAAGTTGGTGGTAATTTAAACTTCCATATAAATGTGTTAGATTCCAATAGAACATGTAGCATAATGATGCTAATTTTTGCATTGGATAGCAACTATCTGAGTTTGCCATGTCATATACATCATTTGGTGTCTGATCACATAGATGATAATGTTGCAGGTTGGAGCTGATGGGGGTAAATCACGTGTTAGGGAATTAGCAGGATTCAAAACGACTGAATGGAACTACTCACAGAATGCAATTATCTGTACGGTGGAGCATTCCATTGAAAACCAATGTGCATGGCAACGGTTTCTACCTTCTGGTCCAATCGCACTTTTGCCTATTGGTGACAAGTTTAGCAATATTGTTTGGACCATGAACCCATCAGAGTCAGACCACCGTAAATCAATGAATGATGATGATTTTGTGGAGGATGTCAACCGTGCTTTGGATTATGGCTATGGTCCTCATCCTAAATCAAGCTTAATAGAAACTGGCAACTTTTTCTCTTGGCTTAAAATGGATTCAACATTCTCAGCCAATCAGTTTTTTGAAATTCCTCCTAAAGTAGTGAAGTCAGCGTCTCAAAGAATGGTGTTTCCATTGTCCTTACGGCATGCGAACACCTATGCATCAAAGCGTGTGGTCCTAATTGGAGATGCAGCTCACACTGTCCATCCTCTTGCTGGTCAAGGAGTTAATTTAGGTTTTGGAGATGCATTTAGTCTTTCGAAAATAATTGCAGAAGCTATTGCTCTTGGCAATGACATTGGAGAGGTAGGTTATATTTCTGATTTCTTTTCCTGGATGATATATAAAATTATATGCATTTTGTCCTCAAAAAATAAATAATTACAATTATCGTTGAGATGCTTCTTTTTATATGCATGGAACACCTACGCACTTTAGTCACATTGCTTATATATCTAATGGAAACTGTTTTTTTTTTAATTAAAAAAAATGGAAAGTGGTTTCTTTTAAAAGGAAAGAGTGCAAGTTTGAAGGATTAGGTATCCTCCAAAACAATCTGCAAAAGAAAACAGACGGAGGAAAAAGATGTGTATTCACTATTCACAGAGCTCAAGTATGCCTTTGCCAAACTATGAGGGAATCTTCTGCTTAAAGCTATTTCTTGAACTCTTAAGTTGCAATAATAGATTATGGTTTTACTGGTTGTCATGAGATCAAAACAGTTGTTCTGGTTACAGTTCAAGGAATTGTATCATGGAGTGAGTTCAATAGAAGGAATGAAAAACTTGTAGATGCAAATTTTCATATCATAGAGCAGTAATCAAAAGTAATGCCGGTGTTCTGGCCATAGAGGATGAGCGTCTGAAAAGTGGCTGAAATATAATTCCTGTGGTGTTATTTAACATTCACAAAAAATTGTGCACCCAATGTGTTTCATGTCCAATCACTTGATTGTGAGCACACCTTGTTGGTTTTCTTTGGCAGCATATTTTCCGTCTAGAAAAGTTTGATTTAGGTGCGCATTTGATAAAAATGTTCCCTGGTTGCAAGTTAAATATCTGAAAAATGTATCAAATTCATCGGTTCCTGGTTCCATGATCTGAAATATCGGCCAGTCATTGATCGTATACCTAAGAACCCTCACTATCCATTTCTTGAGGCGCGTTGATCAAGTATATTAATGGTATTATCATCTACTAAGTAGGAAATTTACTTAAAGGAATGTGTGATTGATTAATTGCTTTTCTTCACACTGGTAACTAGATCTATTCGCTGAACAGAATTGATTTTATGACGTGTTTAGAGTCGACTGTTGGATTTACTATAACCTGTAAATGCGTTAAGGTAATATGGGGTGGTTTTGCAGGTACATTTATTGAAGAAGTACGAAACAGAGAGGAAGCCAGCAAATATTATGATGATGGCGGTCCTTGAGGGCTTTCAAAAAGCTTACTCTATTGATTTTGGACCGTTGAATGTACTGCGAGCTGCGGCTTTCCACGGGGCGAACTATATATCACCACTCAAACGAAGTATCATTTCTTATGCTTCTGGGGACCAGAAACTGCCCCTTTTCACTTGAGAACATGGAACAGCCCGTCCACACTTTGGTTGTTTTCATGTTGATTAATTTTTCCATCCAAGATGGTCATAAGCATATTCCTTGAGATATAGGATGCGTTTATTTTGTTTGTATTGCATATCATACGCGTAATGTGCTAGGATATCACAATATCTGAATCTAGTTTCAGCTTGTATGGAAGAACGTATTGTGAATATGAGAATGGTGTAACATGTAAACAGATGTATCGGTCTTATCTGAAATTACGTTGAATAAGTGCTAGTGATGAATTTCCACGCAGGATTTTTCTATCAAACTCTTCTCCCAAGCCTGAGCCTTTTTGTTTGTTTGTTTGTTTTTTTTTTTTTGCCGACTCCCAAGCTTGACCCTTGAGCCTTATTGAGGCGGTCAAACCTTAAGTAGTTGTGGAGGCAAGGAAAATGACCCATAAATACTTGTCACTCATTTTATACCTTTCCCCTGTTTTATTTAGCATTAAACGGAAAGCATTCTAAAAAAGTGTAACAACATTTATTGCTGAACTTATATGGTTATATGTGCATTCTGTTCGATATACACAATTGGGGGCCTTAAGGAGTTGGGTGGGAAAAAATCACAAAAATGTATCGCGTATTATTCTGGCCAACACCCGAGAAGATAATCTGTTGAGAACTTCGGGAAGAACTTTGGCAGAGATTCCCGGCAGCACTGGTACGAGTTCTTGAATAATCTGAGCAACATTCTGAGCCAATTGCCACCGACAAACAAAGATCAGATTAGATGACCATGCACATTACCGTTTAACCGAAATATAATAACACAAGCATAATCCAGAGAGGTGGACATCTAAGAAACAGACTAAACTAGACCAAGAAAAATGTCTCTTGGTAGTGGATTCTTCATTACCTGATTGGAGGTGCTTGATAATGAACTTCCTGCAGTCAAGAATTCCAGTATTCTCTGGACATTATTCAGTATGATTTCATCCTCTTCAGTTATGGTGGGTATTAGAGCTGAGGGCTTGAACGGGCCAACATCAGGTACCATACTGAAAACTGGGGTAGCATTCTGAATTCCTAATATTGACATTATTCTTACAAGTTGTTCCCTTGTAAGAGCATCAATACCCTTGACCACCTGCTTTCCATGAGCAGTAACGTGACAGTCAAATTGAGTGAGTAAAAAAATCATAATAATCAAGCGTTATAACAAATAAGGAAAAATACAGGGAATAGGGGGTATTTACAATAGGAAGTTAAGTTAAAACATTATCAGAGATTATGGAACAAATAATTCGGGACTATTTATGGTAAAGGGGATCTAGGAGCAGGAGATACAAGATGGATGTTAAAGCCTATGTTTAAATCTGACATTGTAGCCTACACAACTATCTTGTACTGATATAACAAAAGCAAGCTCCCATGCGAGCACATTCACACGTTCTCTGGTCATGTGAATTTCTTAAAAAAATTCTTCGAAGTGCTATTCATTCCTAATATTTATATCTGCTCACAGGATAAGGTAAAATGAAAAAAGAGAGGCTCTTTTTCATGCATCATGAGATCTACAACGCGCACATACATTCACCTGATATGTATTATAAAAGATATATGAATCAGCACTTCTATACAATACCTCATCCAGAAGAAATTCTCGGAAAAAATTGCCCCTATCAGACAGCAAAAATGCTAAAGCTGCCCTTGTTTGCACTGGCTGCTGTGATTGGGGGACAACAGACTGGAATCCTGGCACAACAGACTGGAATCCAGGCAAGAGATACTGTGTCTGACCAGGAAGAATTCCAAGCTCAGCCATATTTCCGTTCAGACTCTCTCCACCTCCACTTTTTGCTGCAGTAATAAAGTTCTCAAAGGCTTGCATGATATCAATAAATCTTTCAGCATCAAAAACTCCAGATTTCCCATATATAGTGTAATGCAGAGCATTCCGCAGCCGAGGGGATTCATCCGTTAGGAGCCTCTATCAGTGAATGTAATGAAAACCAAGCTTAGATTACTCAGAAAAATCTTAATAGCAAACATAAAGACTATCCAGTTACAATGTGGTGATCTACAATGCTCTTAGGTTTGTGCACATTTTTCAAGCACTCTAGGTTGTTTTACGAGAACCTTAAAACAATAATCAATGGCATAAGCCCACATACAACTGATACAGGCCATGTAGCTTTAGTACACCAAAAGAAAAGAAAACCATAAAATCTTATACCTGAGCAATATATGGATAGGCCTCATCAACAATGGCAAACTCAGCATTCCCAACCAGAGCTATCCCTTCCAGAACCCCAATGGCCCTAATTATAAGAGCAAAGTATGGGGGTATTCTAAAAGGATAATCAAATGTAATTTGTGCCAAATCTGCTGCCAATTCCTGGAAGTTGATATTTTTTGCTCCTCCACCTTCAAGTGCCTGATCAAATACTTTAGCCAGAACTGGCAAGATAGGCTCTAAATTGACACCATCTGGAATGAAATCAAGTTTAACAAAGTCTTTAACAATGGCTGGATAATCCCGATGGATGAGATGAGCAATTGCTTCAATCATCCCATACTTTTGATCATCAGTCAATTTCGTAACAAGCCCTGGTAGCAGCAAAAGACTTCCAAAATCAGTCTAAATTATTAGGAAATAAAATCAAATTTTTAAAGCAACACGAAAAGGACTTGACAAAATGGTTTATTGTGGACATAAGGTGCATTAAAATAAGACTAATTCGCTATCACATGTGCAAAAAGGAAAGAAAGCTAGTCTAGCAGCTTTGCAACAAGAAACATGCAAAGCCCAAAACAATATTTCATTCCATGTACAGTACACGTACTAGTAGTGCTGCAAATTCAAATCCCAGTAAAATATTCTGCTTGTTAGTGTCACAATCCTCATGGACAATGCTTGGGGGGAAAAAATGTTTACCCTATGCAAGAAAAGGTGCCTTCAGATGCAGAGCATGATTTCATCATAGGAAGAAAAATGGTAATATGATTGATAAAAGTAAAAGAAAAAATCAACAGCAACTTATAAGGTAACCTCCTCATACATTAACCTATGAAGAAAAGGAGGGTACATTCCTTAGAGTATTTTATTAAACACTCACTCAGATGCATCATAGAGAACCAAAGCCTAAAAGTAAATGAAATAGGTATACATAATACTACTCATGATGCAGAAAGATAAACAATATAATATTCCACTATATGCTGACAATATTTAAGTTTACCGAAGTCAAGTATGGCAAGTTTCCCATCTGGCGTACGGATCAAGTTCCCCGGATGTGGATCAGCATGGAAAAATCCAGTGTCAAGCAGCTGGTAAAAAATTAAAATAAATCAATACAACAATAAGTTGGCAAGAACTTAACTTGAAGCACATGAATAAAAATCAGATGCCTTCAGTCCAATGTTTCAGGATGCAATGTATTTCTATATCTAACAATGGCCTTTTAATATATAGAAGCTCTTTAATAAACTATGTTATTGCAAGTCCAGAGGCCCAGATACATAAGACAGATGGTAAGAAATGAATATACACAAAAGTGGTCGCCCTTGAAATCTAGTGCCATCTAAAAGATTTCAAAAGAAAGCATAAAAAATTACCTGTTTCAGGTAGCAGATAACTCCAACGTTAACGAGTTCTCCAACATCACTTTCTGTGCTCTGTGACAGCTTCTCTCCCTCAACCCATTCTGTGGTAAGAACCCTCCTGGATGTATATTTAGTGTATGTTTTTGGTATGACAACCTATAACTCAAACTGTCAGAGGAAGTATGCGAATTCTCAAGGATCTAGTGACTATTATCATACTATTGTTGTCAATTGTGGTAAAACTAACCATACTTTGTGCATAATAAAATGGAAACCAAAATAAAATATCTAGATTAGAAGTGATCAGGCTCACCTGAGGTAGGTCTTTCTTCATCATTTCAGCAAAACGGTTCCCATTTTCACCTTCATTAACATAGTCTAACTCCTCAAAGAAGCGAGCCGCCCACTCATCAACCAAGCCAACCACATCTAAAGAGACCTGAAAATATACAGATAGAAAGCAACTGGGTTGAGAGGAAGACATTGAAAATTAATGATTAATGTTTTTATCAACAACCAATGTTGTCGCTTCAAGAAATCAAGATCCAAATTCAATTTAACATAAAGATAAGGCGCCAATTTATCTTTGCAAGAATTTAACTAACCTGAGGAAACCTCCGAAGAAACAAACCCAGGTTCCTAATAATGAACAAATCGACTGTAACAGTTTCAAGAACAAAAGGCCTCTGAACTTTAACAGCTACCAAATCTCCATTTTCCTTTAGACGGCCCTTGTATACTTGTCCAAGAGATGCTGTGTATATTTGCATAAAAATTAATACTTGCTTATTGATTAACTCAATAAACCTTGCAAAGAGAGGCTATACTTTTCTACTAAGAATCTACTATATCTAACTGATTGTCTCGAGAGCTACCAGCAGCAATGGGAGAGGATGAAAGTTCAGAATAGATGTTTTGCCAGGGTTGACCAAGTTCCTCTTGAATTAAAGCCATTGCTATATCATCTGGAAATGAAGGAACCTACAAAAGAAAAAGAATAACATCAGAAGCCATTGTCAAAATATTGGACACTGTAATATAATCATTTAACTCCAAAATTCACGCATGCTTCATGAGATCTTGTTTCTTTCTTTCTTTTTTGGTGAAATGAAATCTTGGATCTAACTGAATAAGATAGCACAGATTTTTAAAGTTGCTTGAGAAGTTAGGATCATAAACCAAAGAGAGGTTCGTCTTTCTTAATTTAAGCCCAATTTATGTTTCTACAGTGGCTTTGAGTAAAGAATACACAGAACTTGACTAATAAAGCTTCTTTTTAACTTTTTAGGGTATACCATTTTTGTCTGCATGCGGACTATGAAGAAAGTTGGATCAAATTCAAATGTAACAAGACCAAATGCAGGAGAGAGAGCAAGAGAGAAGGGGGCATGGAAGGAGCACCAGCGTTACCTTATCACAAAGCTTTTGCAACTCCGTCATTGCAACAGGTGACAGTATATCAGGTCGAATGCTCAATGCTTGACCAAGTTTTATATAAGCTGGACCCAAAGATG